AGCTTGATAGCTGCGACGCATCAAGGGAGGGTTTTTTCAAGGTGGGAGTGATGGTGGCAGTTTTTAAGGGAATGGGAACAGAGCCAGAGGAGAGGGACAGGTTGACGATGTCTGTGATATGTGGGGCAAGGAGGTGGAGCTGGGAGATAAGGAGTGGAGTGGGGATGGGTTCAAGGGAGCAGGTGGTGGGTTTCAGGGATAGGATGAGTTTGGTGACAGAGGGTGGGGAAACGGGTACGAAGTGTGTAGGGGAGGATGGGTAGGAGTCGGAGTGTGGGAGGGAAGGGGTGGGGGTGGGTGGATGTTGGAGGGGAAGTGACCGCGGAGCGAATTCCCTTGATTTTGGATTCAAGGAAATCCAGCATCTCCTCGCAGTGAAGGTTGGAGGAGATGACCTGCGCGGGGTGGTGGGGGGGACGGAGGAGTTGGGATGTGGTAGAGAACAGTAGCCTGGGGTTGTCCTTCGCCTCCAGGATTATCCTGGAGTAGAAGAACGATTTGGCCGAGGCTAGAGTGGAGCGGTAGATTTTGAGGAGGTCCAGCCAGATTTGTCGGTGGACCGTTAGGCCAGATTTGAGGCAGGTGCGTTCAGCGGCCCGCACCTGGCTCTTCAGTGAGCGGAGGTGGGTGGTGAACCGGGGGAGGAGCGAGAGTAGGAGACAGTATGGGAGGTGATGGGGGCAAGAGTGTCAAGTGTGGAGGAGAGGGTGTTGTGGAGGAGGGTGAGAGCAGAAGAGGGGTCAGTGAGGGTTAAAGGCCAGAGGGAGAGGAGTTCAGAGGACTCCAAGGCAGCGGTTAGAGATTGAGGGGGTAACTTCTTCCAGGGGCGGTAGAAGATGGTGGTGGGTCTGGTGGAGGTGGGGAGGGGTGTGGAGGTGGTGAAGGAAATGAAGTGGTGGTCGGAGACGGCCTTGTCGGTGATAGTGACATCCAAGAGGCTGAGGCCCCGGGTGATCACCAAGTCGAGTGGGTGGCCGTGACTGTGAGTGGGGGAGTTGATGTGGAGGGAGAGGTTGAGCGAGGAGAGCAGGGAAGAGAAATCTGAGGAGATTGTGCAGGAGGGGGTGAAGTGCAGGTTAAAGTCGCCCAGGATGATGAGGCGATCAGAGCAGAGGCAGAGAGATGTGAGAAGTGTCTAAATATCAGAGATAAAGGTGGGAGAGGTTTTACGGGGCCGGTAGAGGATCAATGTTCCAACATTTCATCCAAAGAACATCATCTCCAACAATGCAATCCAGTCCTGCATTCGAACGTCATCTCAGAATATATGAGTCCCCAGGTAGGGCTTGAACCTTCTGATTCATTGTAAGAGTGCTATCAACTGAGCCAGGTTGACACATCTAACCAGTCTGACACCCCTGGCAATGGTGTAATGCCAAAAGGAAATGGAAAAATATATATGAATGCATCTTTTAGTATCTAGTCTTCAGCACACTGCTTTGTGCTGGTGAACATAAAACAGAATTTGATCGCCAGAATATTGAACTTGGTTCCTTAGTGGAACTAAAGATTGTGTATATAAAATATATAACTTTACCATTGCATTGAATATATTTGCTCAATGTGGGCTTCTCCCTTAAGAGCTCATAAATGAGTTATAACCTGAAAAAAGGTGCAGAATTCGTGTATAAAACCCATAAATAGTCTGATAGCTCAATTCAGCTCTTACAGTCATTCAAAAATCAACTCTGGAACTTCAACTGAGTTCAAGCAGATGATTGCAAAATGTTTAATGATCAGAATGAAAGCATTACTGGAGTTGCCATCCGTTCCATAATTACTCAGCAGCTGATCCATTTCTAACATTGTTGTATGGTTTATTTAAATAAAGAACAACAACACAGCACAGTACAAAGAATTGCTTAAAAATAGACAGCAAGATAAAGTTGATTAGCATGTGCCTGCACTTTACAGACATTTTCACTACAATATTTCCACAAAGCATCTTTTTGAAGATTTGCAATAGAGTGACAGCTTCTCAATTTAAACTTAAACCATCATCATTGTCATAGTGCCATCCCTCCTTATCATCTCATACACATAACAAAACCTCTTGCCCTCAACACATGCAGGGTTTATGGTACCATCTGCACTGATCCAAATAATCCTGAAAAATCATTTTCAGATCACCTCCAAGGCCTTCCAATGGCACTTTCATATTACTTATACAGTCTCATCTGCTCTTTAACTCCAGCTGCTTCCTTTATCAAGCAATTTCTCCAACCTCTTCTAACTTGCTAATCTACCTTGTTGAAAAAGTCATCTGGATGCCCCACTGATTTATAGGATTTATATTTATAGGATTTATCTCCTCTGAACTAGACCAGTTCTAAACAACACAATTTGCACCTTAGGCCTTTGTGAGATGAGATTTCTCTGATTGCTAGCCAGTATAACAGAACAAGTTGTCTGATATGCCAAACCAAACTAGTGCACAACATTATTTGTTTTCAAAATCAACTTAATAGGCTCATGTAAGCTTGAAAGGTCACATTTCTCTAACAATTCCACTCTTTCTCTTTACTACTCCAGTAACATCGGATTTTTCTCTTACTTGCAGAAAACTCATTATTATTGAGCTATCATTTTTCTTAATAAACTAATAAATCTAAAGTATACAAATCGTTAGCTTTAAACCCTCCTTACATTTTATAGCAATAATCCTTGCATTTGATATAACAACAACAATAACAAATTATATTTGTATAGCACCTTTCTTGTCAGAAGGACGTCCCAAGGCACTTCACAGGATTTACTCTAAAGTGATGTGACTGTATCTATTTTGTGGGTGAACACGGCAACCAATGTTCCACAAACAGCCATCATTCCTGTATTTCCTTTGTCTCTTGGTTACAGTATCTGTATAAGTCCTTTGGTGCACAAAGGTACCAAGTCAGTCTTTCCTTTATAGGGTATCATTGGGTGTGCTTTCTATTGAAACCTAAAACTAGTAAGGTCAACTTAGCAGAGGTACGTGACTTGAGTTCCTGAGCAGCAGTTTTATTTCAGCCATACAGTTACTTGCACATGCACACAAACACATATCCCAAACTGAATTCTATTAAATATACAATACTATGAGGCAATTGCCTTGAAAGTACATTGTTGAAAAAAAATACAAATCAAATGAAGGGAAAAAACTTGAATGACTGAATCTGCATTAAAAGGAACATAGGAACATAGGAGGAGCCATCAAACCAGCTCCAATAATTTATTAGATTATTCATGACAGATCTATTAATCCCATTTCCATAATCACACCTCTTAATAGCCTTACTTCACCAACATCTTTCTATCCATCTCTTTTTAGAACACCCAGTTGACCCTGTCTGTACAGCCTTCTGGGCAGTACTGAGTGATACATTTCATATTTTCACACCCTCTGTGTGAAGATAAAGTGTCTGTTCTTAATTTAGCTATAATTTTAAGATTATGTTCCAAGTATTACTTCAGAATAAAAAACTGCTTTATTTCAGTTGCTCTTTTTTATCCTACCCTTACATATGTAAAAATGTTAATGAAGAAATCAAAAACCATCGCAATGTTGATTGCGAGTACAGCTATAACCCTAACACTTAAATCTATATGAAAAGTTAAAAACAAAATTTTAACTGCTAAGAGTAATTACAACAGCAAATTAAAATAAATGGGGAAAAATTCTGCCTGGATCTTGATTTATTTGCAGAATTTTAGAACCTCCAGAATTTGGCAAGTTGCTGAATTCAGTCTTAACTTTGAAGTCAGTTGCCTGTAAAAATGTTACATAAATACAGTACATTTAGAACAGAGCTGGATTTATTCCCCTACAAATGTTTTCCCTGCAGTTCTTAAAATATCAATAACACATCTTGAACTTCTATGAATAATGTGATCACCTGCTCCAGAATCGTTCAGCACCAGGAGTAGTTTGGAACTAACCATGTATCTGACTAACAGCTGGCTTTCAATCAAAACACCTCCCCACAGTAACCTGCTGTGCTATCTCAACCCTATTCAGAAAACGCTTCAGAAACAGAGACCACCTTAACATTCTTGCCTTCCATCCTCTGAGTACATTTTACTCGTGTTTCTCCAATATCTGTCTGAGACTGGTTTGACTTTCAAAATACAGCACTTGAAATTCCTACCTTTTAAGACCTTGTTTAAATCATTGCATAAATATTATTGAGCAAAATAAGTCACGCGATGGCTGGTAAATAACTTATTTTTACATTGTCACATTTTGACATAAAAATCTAGTTGCAAAAGAAAGCAAAAAAGAATTTCCAACAGAGCTGTGCACTGCCAGTTTTGCTGCATCAAGGGTTTCAGGTAAGGCCAGTTCAGATTGCCAGCAAGGGGCAATGAAGCCAGGAAACTGGACTTATTTAAAAAGCATTTTGACGTTGTGATGGAGGGGTGGGGGGTAATAGGGTGCGTGTTCTGGAAGGATGAGATTGCATGGCCGAAGGGCCTTCTTTATTCAAAACAATCTTGTGATCTTGTGATAAGTGAGAACATGATGAGACACTGAAGACATGAAATAATGGGATCAGTGATAATAATAATAATCCTTGCATTTGATGTAGCGCCTTATCATGTATTTGAAATGTCTCAAAACTCTTCACAGAATTTACTGTAAAATGAATTGGCTGTATTTTGTGGACGAAACACGGTAGTGAATTGTGCACAGCAGTGTCCCACAAACAGTCATGGATTGAATGACCAATTTTTTTAAAAGAGATTATTACCCCCGGAAAAGTGATCCAACAATCAACTAACAACCGGGTTCCTACTTACTGCTACGTAAACAGAGTTATGTGGAGTAAGGAAACTTGCCCAATGTTTTGCCCTACCCAGGAATTGAACCCAGGTCCTCTTGCTTGCGAGGCAACTGCTCTAACCACTAAGCTACAAGACCCCACAGTGATGTGTTAACCTGGTGTGATAGGGTACGATTTGTCCACTTGGATGTGATTCTGTTCTCAATATTTCCATCTGGTAGTTAATCACAACAATGCTTAAACACCATCTTTTTTTTAATGAATTCTATTTCCATTCCTGGGGCCTCAGAGTGTAGTCAATATTCATGTCACACCTAATATTCAAATGGATACCTTGGCTCTTTATTGGCATTTCTGTCTGGATAAGTACAGAAATTATCTGAAACCCTTTGCTTTCTGTACCCATTGCTGAATATTATCTCTGATTCTCAGAAAGAACCAGCTGCAAAATTAATATTCTGCATCTACCGACAGAGAAGGCACAATAATCACACACAAACAATTCCATTGGAAGCCCATGTGTTATACATCTCTTTAAACTGCAACAATGAAGTAGAGAACAACTTGCAAAACTTTCCTTTTCAGAGTTTCAGGAGGAAAACAATTGTGATACGGTATAGACAAGTATTGTTTTTCTTTGCAATTGGGCTTTCAACTGCAAGTGTTAGTGTTGGGCTTTATACGCATTTGAAAGATAATTTCAAACAAATGCATACTGTATTGAGTAAGTGAATGACTTGTATGACAACCAGGGAACAAAGAGCTGAAAGGTAAAAGACATACATCAGATCGGAATGTATGCTGAGAAACAATGTGAGGCTGCAGAAACCTGATCTCTGCAGTAGATGTTAGTTATTTAGGCACTTCAGCCCTAAACACTGTTGAAATCCATTCAAATAGCTCATCATTCCTGCTTTCTGTCTTTGTAGTCAATAGTAAAATGTTTTGCTCTTCTTAGTGATCTCTGTGGAGAATGACTCTGCAAACTGAGGAAATGCAGGAGATCTAAGAACCTTAGGACAACATCTGTTGTGTTGTTTTCCCTGCAACCTCTTCTCTGCTGATCTAATGTCCTGGAGATCTGATTTTCTTCTTTTCAGATTGCCCAGCTTCCTTGTTCTGCCTGAGGTCATGTCCATTCACTGCAGGGCTTTGCTGAGTTGAAAGAAAATTTGCCAGAGGCCCATAACCGTTGTTGGCATCGAGGAACACACACTGGAAAAAGCGCAAGGGAGCTGCGGGGTGGGGGTGGGGGGGGCAAAAGAATATAAACATTTCAAATTATTGTAAACACAAATGTTGATTTTATCAATCATGTTTTCTTGTTGAAATTTATACAGACAAAAGACATAAGGCTCCTCTCACCCATCTTCTAAGAGTACCATTGAAATTGTTTAGAAGGAAGTCCTGTCAGTTTTGGGAAATGAGACATTTCACTAAAGAGATATTATAATAATAATAATAATTATTATTATTATTAAAGAGATATTTATATACATGTCTTAAGTGTATTTTTCCAATTATTTACAGTGTGTGCATAAGATCATTGCAAAAAGGTTTAAAGATCATGGTTCTGTGATCTCGAATGACCAGATATGATTTTTGTTTTTAAAGGGCTTTCAATCCAAACATGTAAAGTACTTGCTTTCTCACTACAACAACAATAACTGGCATTTATATAGTGCCCTTCATGCTGAATAATATATCGGGCCACTAGAATCAACATGATATTGATTATGTCATCGATAGAGAGAATTCAGAGATGGAAGTTCATCAGATGCCTGAAAATTTACCTAATCTTAACCCTTAATACCATTTTTCTGTGCATTGAAGATTGTGCAGATTTGAGGAACATTCTAAATTCAGTCTTATTTGGATGCCATTCTTTTTCAGAACTGTGGAAACATAGTTTTCAAATTTAAGAATTGTGCACAATTCTGCTGGATCTTAAATTTTAAGACACATTCATTTTGTTGGCTAAGATTAGGGATAATAAAAATAATCATTGCATTTAATATACAATGATTATTAAGGAGTCCTGTAGCTCAATGGTTAGAGCACTCGCCTTGCAAGCGAGACACCTGGGTTCAATTCCAGGCAGGGCGAAACCTTGGTCAAGTTTCCTTACTGCACACGCCTAATAATAATCCCTCCAAAACAAAACAATAATAAATTGGTCATTTTCAATCCACGACTGTTTGTGGGACACTGCTGTGCACAATTGGCTGCCGTGTTTCGCCCACAAATATACGGTCAATTCACCTTACAGTCTATTCTGTGAAGCACTTTGAGAAGTCGAGAAGACGTGAAAAGCACTATATCAAATGCAAGGATTATTATTATAATATAGCATATTATCACGTCTTCGAGATATCTCAAAGTGAATTGTAAAGTGAATTGACTGTATATTTTGTGGGTGAAACGCGGCAGCCAATTGCGCACAGTAATGTCCCACAACCAGTCATGGATAGCATGACCAAATTATTATTATTTTTTATTTTATTTTTAATTTGAAGGGATTATTTTGGGGGGTTTCAGAGAGGTCATTGGTGAGGTATATCAAATGTCATTTGGTTACATTTTTGGAGACAGTTCAATGATTCCAGCTGGTTTGTCACTGTGAAAATCCACAAGTTTCATAACTTTTCTAGTTAATAAGTTTTTCTAGTTTTTCTAGGATATGATGACATTGGTGTGGATTCAAGAGATGACTGATGCACCTTTCAGAAGGGCTGGCAAATCCATTCATTTATTGATCCAAATCCCTGACATCTTTGGGACATTTGATGTGAATGGCGCTATACAATTGTAATTTGTTGTCGTTCTTGAACAATTTGTTGGCTGCCTTTTCCAGAGCTTTAGGTATGGTCGACTTTATACAAATGGAGACGTGGGTACATTTGATGCTATGCATCAACTGAAACAGTCTTTTTTTTATACGCAAGTGGTTTGTGATTCTTAGAAAATTACCAAGATATACCTCGCCAATATACCGAGAGCCAACATACGCTTCTTCACCGTTAGTTAAACGTACATGCCTCAGTTATTTGAGGACAATTGATTGCAAAATTGGCTATAATGGAATCCATGGATGCGGTTCAAAACTATGCTCAAAGCACCATTATATCAACTTGAAATTCCAGTTTACCTTTATGAATTGAGGGTGCTTTATCTTTCGTAACAGGGTGTTTGTGAAACTATATTTAATTAGTTTAACTGTAATTTTACAATTACAAATATGTCTTTTTACTGTCATCCCCTTCTTCACTTTGGATGGCAGTTGGAGGCAGCAACGTCTTCACTCGTACATTTATATAAAACACTTCGTCCAATGTGCATGTATGAACAGATCTCACCCTAACCCAGCATCCCAAATTTCTCATAGTTTTAGTCTTGAGATCAGAATCTTATAACATAAGATTGTGCAGAATTTTGAAAAGAATCTTAAAATGGTGTATTTTTTGGAAGGCGGTTTTCTGCATTTATAAAAGGAAACTTTAAAATGTATTGCGTTAAAACAGTTTCCAAATTAATATTGCATTTTCGCATGGTCTGAAGGCTGTAAATTATAAATGTTGGACCTCAAAACTCAAAGCCATTGAATACAATAGCAGTCTTATGCAATTAAGTGTTCAGGTACACTGTTTATCTCTGAAGTTTCAAACTCTGTGCAACACATGATGAAGTGACGATGTTCCAGTGCTAACACAGCACAGAATTTGACAGCAAATAGAAGCACTATTTGGTGAGGCTAGCCTGAATGGTACAAGTGAGGTGGGACAATTTAATAGTAGTTGGCTGTTTTTGAATTAGTTGTGATATGAAGCATAGCCCACCGTGACCTTACGGGAAGTTGAGACTAATGGAAAGTGCAAAGTCCTCAGTTTATGTTGAGAACAGGGCTTGGATTTCAGCATATTCCAAATCTAATCTGACCTCCAATTACCAGTGTAAAACAACTATTGTCAAATCCATATCATTTCTCAGTTAAAAAAAATACAATTTGCAACAACTTTGCAACAGGATATGACTCTTGTGTCTTGTTTTCCATAGCAAAGGGTTGACAATGTGTATCGAAAGCACTGACCTTTAGGTTTCTTCTCTGTAGCTGAAAGTTCCACTGGAAAGTGAAAAGAAAATAGTTGTCACTGAGACTATCTGTCAAAAATGTTAATATCCATTTCTTTACAAAGTGTCAGTACACATCAACACATAGTACAGGTTTCATCTCATCCCCGACCCGATGTGATACATCTATTTCTCTACATATATTCTCCAGTTTCTGCATGTGTTTACTCAGTGAGACTATGTGGTTGATCCTCTGCCTGGTGAAAACTTAATGGACCCAGTGGTATGTGTAATTATGGGCAAGGAATCAAGAGTAAGAAGTAATTGTGTGAGGTAAAAATAAATCCCATTATTTCATGATTGGATAGAAAGAACTTGCATTTTTATAGCGTCTTATCACGCTGAAATCACTAAACGTTTCACAAGTAATTACTGTGAGAGCCGACTGGCACGGTCTGTTAATTTTCTGTTGAGTTGAGAATCCCCCTCCCCACCCCGCATATTCTTTATAATTCAGCTTTGCAGGTGACAGGTTTTATCTTTTCCATTGGTTGCTACATGTGCTCTCGCCCAGTACAGAGATTCAGACATTGGCTCAGTGCCAGCAAATTGACCTCTGTCATTCAATATGCATCAAGTTTAATTCACAGGTCTATTAACCAGTAGAGAATCACCTCCATCGCTTTTAGTCTCAGGACAAAGAGCAACATTTAAAAAAAAACACAACTAACATCACACACAAACTAATTGAGGATTTTTTTCCTGTTATAAATCCCAATCAGTATTTGGGAAATTGAAATCTCTGGTGATAATCACAAGATCACAAGTTTGGTTTGGATGAAGAAGTACCTTGGGGATAGTCATTTGACCCATCTGATCTCATCACTCAGAAAACCCACCATACTGACTCCCCATAATAAGAACCCCTGGGGTTTACCACCCCACCCCCCCACCACCACACACACTACCACCCCTTCTTCCTACCAGCAGTCCACCTACATCATTTGATTGCCTGGTGGCCTATCAATATTACATAATTACATATTACATCAATATTACATAAACACTAAATATTCATCTTTCTCTCTTTATTTTCTAACCAAAATGACTCAATCCCACTTCCAACATACTGTTCTTCAGTTACAGTTACTCCCTCTCTAACAAATAAATCCACTTTTCTTTCCCTATCTTTTCTTAAGCACTAAAAACCCCGCAGGTTATTCTCCCACTCAGCGTTAATTTTGAGCCAAGTTTTCATCATGTACTCCCACAAATTTTAACTTGCTTCCTATTTACCAGCACTTCAGTCTTCACCCATTTTCCCCCTTCTATTCCTTGTATTCAAACACTTCAAATGATCTTTCTTAGCCTTTAATCTATTTTCTTATTAATCTCTTCCCTGTGGTTTGCCATCCTTTCCCTCTCCACAATCTTGCATTGGCAATCTCTATCATTGATCTCGCTGAATATTCTGGGTTAATTCTTCAGGACATTACACAAATGCAAACACTGTTACTATAGCAACAGTTTAAATGGCTCTAATCCATTACCAAACTCTTTACTGCCTCTAGATAGCAGTGGGTGATCCTGCAAAACATAAACCCTCTCTCTCTTCTATCAACTCTCATCCATCTGCTTGAATCTATCCCTGCTTCGGACTGCAGACCGCCACAGCATAGGCATCAATCCATCAACTAAAATAAAACCATGTATTCTTTTAAAATGTGACAACTTCAAACTCAATGTTGCTATTCCCCAGGACTCTCTGAGGAGCTTGAAAGCACTTGTGGAATTTTGGAAAAAAAATCAAAAGTAGAGTTAAGTGGGTCTTTAATATTTCTTTAGAAATTAAAAATACAATGCAACTATTCAGTAATAGGGTAATTCAATAAATTCATGCTTGCTGTGCACAAGCTGAGTTCTCTTTTGACGAATAAGACAAACGCATTCAGGCAGCAATTAACACAGCAGGTGAGCAAGGTTTATTAATGGGAAATGGCATTTACCAAATAGCTTGACAATGTATTGCTAGTGAAATTATACAGAGAACCGGGAGGGGACAAAAACAATTGCAATTGCTCATATCAAGAGCATGAAGAGGTCGACAATGAAGCTGTTAATTTATGATTAGTATAATCAATAGTGATCTTCACATAAGGTCTCCAGTGATCGTTGAAATAATGAACTGGAGTAATTATTAAACACTGCAAGTGAAATGAGATCTCTTAAACAGAGCGGAATGATGGCCTGTCTGATGCTCAGTGCTGCGGAGGAGAAGGGAGGAGGAGATTGTATGATTCTGCTCCAGTGTTCTCTTATGATCCCATCTCCAAAGGGCCTCTGGAACTCTCTCACAGAATGGGGATAATTAGGGGGTGAGTGAGACGGGCGATTCCTTAGCACACTATTGCAGCTGACATTGAAGTGGCATCGGCACCATTAGAAACAATTTGCCTTTTAACCACAGCAAGTCAAGACAAAAGGAGAAAATGCACATCTCAAAGTGCTTTACAGGATCAAGTATAAAGTGCAGTGACTGTGTTTAATGTAGGTAAATTTATCAAATTTGAGATGCTCTGACATGCTGCGTAAAGAGATTAAATCTAGACCAATATGAAATTTCTCCCCAGCAGTGTCGGGGGGTCGGAGAGAGGGGGAGGAAGAAGACACAATTAGAAGCATTGGCAAGACATAAGGTAGGAAGATATAATTCATACTCATTCATACTTTGTGGAGTCCTGTAGCTCAGTGGTTAGAGCACTCGCTTTGCAAGCGAGAGACCTGAGTTCAATTCCAGGCAGGGCGAAACCTTGGCAAGTTTCCTTACTCCACACGCCTAATAATAATCCCTCCAAAACCAAAAACAATAAATTGGTCATTTTCAATCTACGACTGTTTGTGGGACATTGCTGTGCGCAATTGGCTGTCGCGTTCGCCCACAAATATACAGTCAATTCACTTTACAGTGTTTTGTGAAGCGCTTTGGGACGTCCTCCCGATGTGAAAAGCGCTATATCAAATGCAAGGATTATTATTATTATTATTATAAATAACTCGTATGAAAATCACACTGAAATCAAGGGTGAAAGAAATGATATTGTAATAGTAACTAGACCTTAGATAACCAGGAATTGACAGTGTGTTAACTTCTTACACCCAAATAGACTACGAAGAGAACATGCTAATCATCAAAAAATATATACGGTATTTAAAACAAAGCCTCGAGTGGAATATAAACACCAGCACAGATTAGTTGGGCCAAATGACCTGTTCCATGCCTATACGTCCTATATAAATCTATGTAAAACAATGACTTATAATTCTAACCAATGATTTATGTCATGACAAGGGGGAAGCTTGATGAGTTCTGACAAATAGTGCTGGTGTCACATTAGCAATTTGCACAGTGGAGGATGAATCATTTATTTTTTAGTTAATTTGGGGCATGTTCAGGAGGCAGTTTGGATTCAGCACTCATACTGAAGCAGCAAAGGAGGAGGATTGCCGATATCTATTATGCTGCTGCAGTGTAGTGGCCTTGTATGGGCATGGTGTGTGTTTTGCCCAGTAAAATATTTCCTGCGGAAATGGGCTCGCTGAAATCCTCGACCATTGCATTTCTAAAGCTCTGTGGGCACAGCTTTTCAAATATATCCTATTAAAGCCTAGCTGACAATAGAGGATAGGCTCGCGTGTTTGCATGCTAACAATGCAAGTGAACAAACATTAGCAGGAGTGCAAACCAGTTGTTTATATTTTTAGATCTGAAACATAATTCAAAAGTAATGGCAGGAAACGAAGATCATTTCTGCCCAACCTCCCTCATTGGAAATGAATATTGTCATAATAATGTAAATGTGGTCTCACAAAGCAGTGTATGTCTGCGGCTGCCAAAGAGCAACATTCTAATGTAAACACATCCATATGTTTCCTCTTGCTGTCTTCTTCATGAAATTCTATTGAAATGTATAAAAAAGGTGAATTTGCCCATTTGAATGTATGTGATTGTTTTGTTCCAAATAGAAATTGTTCATTCACTTCATGGTTGTTTGTGATACATTGGCTGCCGCATTCACTTAGAAAAATACACAGTCACTGCACTTTGCAATAAATCCTGTGAAGTGTTCTGAAACCTCTCAATATGAAAGGAACACTACCAAATGCAAGGGTTATTATTATTTTTAATTAATTTCCCTTTGGAAGCTAATTGATTTTAACTGCAGTAGTCTATTTATCCAGGCTATTACTTCAAACTGTAGTTGTATATCGTAGACTGTAAGAGAGGTGCTTGCATAAGGTAAGTTTGGTATCAGTGAATCATATTGCATAATCTGAAATTCTGCAGTTGAATAGGTAGGAAAAGTTACTTTATTTATGACAGTTAATATGCTAAATATGACAGCGAATAAAGTTATGCAATTTAACAGTACTGAGATACAGTATGCTGTAGATAAAGTTAAATAGAAATCAGCATTATTATAATTATTAAATTGAGCCTAAAGATCTATATGATCTTTAGTTACGTGCTATAAAGTGACAAGTTGGAATCAGCAGTATATACTAAAAAAAATTGACCCGATAATCTAGCATCTGTGCTGAAGAAAATATTTAATAATCTTTGTATTTGATTTAGTGCCTTATCATTGTTAAATATTCCAATACAGTAGAAAATAATACAATTTACACTTAAATGATGCCTTAGATGTCAGAAGGATGTCCTAAAGCACATTCACTGTCCTGGATGGGCACCCAAACTAGGCATGGGAGCCAAGTGAGTGGGGAAAGAAAAGATGACCGAAAGTGCAGTCACCTCAAACCACAATGTCCCACAAACAGCCATAACCAATTTTAAGTTGGCCAGGAGAATCTTCCTCTTGTTTTCAAATTTAATGGACGCCTGAACAATATAGAGTTAATAATAAAAATAATAATAATCCTTGCATTTGATATAGCGCTTTTCTTGTCTTCTAGACGTCCCAAAGGCTTCACAGAATATACTGTAAAGTGAATTGACTGTATATTTGTGGGTGAACGCAGCAGCCAATTGCGCAC